ATATATATATATATATATATATATATATATATATATATATATATATATATTAGTTTATAATCCGTGAGAACAACGGTTATAAAATTAATTAAATTTCATATTAAAAAATCAAAATTATTATTCAATAATTTTAAATAAATTATTGCTTAAGAGATATTTTTTTACTTATATATAATTATAATCGTTCATTTAAATAAATACATGAAGTTATATCACTTTATAATCTGTATTAATTTTATTTTATTTTTAATCTAATGTTATTAATTTAATACAATTAAAATGAGAAAATTTAAAATAGAGAAATTTGAAATTTGAAATTTGAATTGGGTAATGAGTAGATTGACAAGTGGCATGATAGGTAACATATAATATTAATGAGAAGTTCTAATAATATGATATTTGTCAATTGAAGAATAAACTTATTCTTTTATTAGAATAGGGATATATGTCATATAAATATAAAAATAAATATTTACTCTAAAAACATCAAAATCAAGATTTCACAACTTTATATTTATGAGATTCAGATTTTACAACTATAGTTTATAGAAGTTAATTGCATTGAAGCGATACACAGTTTCCATTTATGAATAATACATTTTAAAAATCAAAGATTTAATCTATAGATTTCTTTATATAAAGTTTTCAATAGCTTGATGCTCTTATTTCTTAGTTTTTTACTAGCAAAATAAAAATATATCACAAACTAAAAAAAACATATATTTTTAGAAAAATTATCATTGTTATTTAGAAAGTTAATATCATTTTAAAATGATACGTGCTCTATACCATGTGGTAAGTTCATTTTAATAACTTGTAATTTGTTTAAAACTTTCTAATTTTCTCTTTTTATTAGAATCATAATATTATTGAGGGCAAATGACATAAAAGCCCTTAAGTTTTTTTAAAAAAAATATCGGTTTCACCATTGGACGTGTTTTAGGTCCAGCAAAGTCGGATGTTTGTTTAATTTATTTGTGACATCCCCATTTTTACGGCCAGAAAATACCGATTTAGTTTATGCTTTTTAATAAAAATCAGGGTAACTTCTTAAGAAAAGTGTTGCGGAATTTTGTTCCCAGAAAAATATGATAAATATGTTATCAAAGCATTTCTGAAGAAATGTATTTTATTCTTTTTGAAACCTTGGGATGTCAACGTCAATACAGAAACATAAGCATAAACAGAACTTACATTCATTTACACTAGTGATCTACATCTCGTTAATCCCTCAGTGTAGTGTAGCTTTATACTGACACGTGTGATACAAATAAACTGAGTGGGTCAGGTTGGGAACCTGGTGAGTACATAGGGTTTTCAACCCACAATAATAAAGTTATTATGTTTTATCATCAA